TTCACTGCTGTTCTATTCATTCATTGACATATCACAGTAATACATTGTACAATATGATCTTGGGAACCGTATGTGGATTGCAGTACAGAAAAGCAAGCTTAACATTTTGGTCCTGCTCTTTCTTAACGATGTTGAGCCAAGTTAAAGGGCGATTTTGGAATACCAGTGGCTGCCTAACTTGGCATCATTGCATACATAGGAGAGATAAGAAGAGAAGAAACCACAGGATGGCAGCGGCTATCAAGTAACGCATCATACGCGCACAGTGTCTTCCTCTCCAACTGCATGCATCGATGGCTGTGACGTGTCTTCCCAGGTGTGGCAGCATAGAACCTCTTTCTCCGTTGAGGTTGCGTGGAAGACTGCGTGAGTATCTACCATCGTTTCGACGACTTCGGCACAAGGAAATGTGATTTTCCGAACCATTTTGCTGTATTTGCTAAGTAAGAATTGGACGGTTATTCGCGGTTGGTATTACAATGCGGTTCTGGGAGGAGTTATCTTAGGGGGAGAAAAGGGGCCTAAAAATATCTCACTTATCATTTTTCCCGCTAGCCAATCATTCTTGTGACACGATTGGCTAGCACCCCGCACCTGCTCGTCCATGTCTCACACAGTTTCCATATCCTATTCTAACGAGCTACATAGGACTATTAGATGCTAGGATAAGCCACTATCAGTCTTACGTTCGTAGCGTTTGGACACTCCTGGGGCCTCACTGACTGTGCCTTAACTTGCAGGACTTCAAACAGGTCCAGAGGGTTAGATATCTGCGCCGTAATTGGAGAGTATTTGTAGATGGAAAAATCGGATGTAGAGTGTCGGGGCGGTCTCCACCGCGAGAGCGGTGAATTAAGGAGTCACTCCTCACTCCAATAACTGGCATGACACCTTACATCACTTCCCATCAAAGACCCCCTGAAGTATTTGGCCGATGTTGTTAGGTGCCGTGCAGGCTGAGCTGCGGCGCTGCGCCGTTTCGTGCGAGAGCACAGACCGTTCGCTCTAATATCTGCAGTCCCGAGGCGTAGATCGTTTCCAGGGCTTTGATTGGTTTAATAGGGACTAGACCTCGCCATATACTTTTGTGAGGTACCCATGGGTTACCCGGAAAATCGCCAAGAACCCGAAACATCATATATTACGGAAATGCAGTTGAAATATTGGATACTTAATAGGAGCTTGTATGTAATCTGTGTATATATTATTGTTACTTGATCCTCTTGGCGGTTCTGGTGGGCCCCACTTGAATGAGGGGTCGAGCCGTCTGGCTTTGACCTCCCGAAATACAGAGTAGCATGCATGTCTTGGGCTCTCCTCAACATCATGACAAATACTCTCCTCTATTAGCTTAGAGCCTGTTTGCTTCGTTGATCATCGCTGTATCTTACTAATTTAGGTATCCAGTACGACAGGAAGATGCGTGACTTGTGATATCTTGTGCATTAGTAGCTCTCGATGCCATGGGAAGAGGTATAACGTCGATGGGAGCATACATGTATTATATACTTCCAGCGCGCGCTGATCCAAATTAGCTTGTGCGTTTTGGGTCCAAACTATTGTTCGAGCATAGCTATCCCTCTGGCATTACTGCGCGCAAGCTTCCCTTTCGAAAATGACACCCATCTGATGGAGATGTCAGACATATCTTGCAACTGGACTTTTTCCAAACTCGATTGGAAAAGTACGCTAAGGAAGAAATGTATGGCAGTGAAGATGCAGGAAAGCGTCGTTGTCCCCATGCCGGGGAACGACGGATGCATAGTGGTTGGCTTCCAACCCCTGCACAAGCCTAAAGACATCGGTGTCGGCTTGCATAAGCACAGTGGTTAGATCTCGCCCATGCATTAGAAGGTTTCAAGAGATGGAAGAATATCGCCAAGAGTTTTCAGCCTTGCAGGCCCAGGGTTACGTATACCACTTGCCAGTGAAGTTGGGTTGGCTGTAACACAACTTGCACTAGGAGCGCTAACATTCGGTGTTAGGGCCACTCATTCCCGCTTCTAGTGTTCCGTACTTCAAAATCGATTCAGAAACTTCAAATTTTATCCTCTCTTCGGACAAGATCCGCTTTGTTAAACGTAGTCCTTGAATTACAGTCCAAAATCCGCTTGAGAATGTCGAAGGTCTTGGTTTCGTGTGTCCAAAAGGCGGAAGCTATCAAGAACACACCAGTTTGTTGAATACCGCATCAGACGGTTCAGTTCCTCCAGAATGATGGTATAGGACTCAATTAGCCCACAAAGAACTTCTCGGCGGGATGTCGTGAGTGGCTATATCCACCCCGAATGTGGACGACGATGAGCCAGTAAAAGATGAAGCAACCCTAAGGGCAATCTGGCTGTTCGACGTTGTGAGTGAAGCGATGCGATACATATTGCTAAAACACTATGAATGATCATGCACAAGCACAGTAACAGTAAACCATGGTGGGACTACGCGAAACGTCCGTAGCTTAATATCAGTATTCAGGTACCGCGCAATTTCAGATTTTCTTTCCCGAGTGGCCAAAGGAACGGCACGACAGGTCGTGAAGAGAAAACTAAGCGTTGGGTGTCTCCTCTATGACCTACTGTAACATGTAAATTAGGCGCTTTGTCGTCGAAACACGAAATCTGTAGTTTGGTGTTTAATTCTATCACTCGACTTCTTAAAAGGCACCCTGCGATTGGAGTAACCAAACGTGAATAGGCGCTGAGGGGCGAACTTCTTGGCAAGACTGGTGACCTACCTATTCCGGTGAAGCGCGGAGAGTTACCCCGCAGTTACATCAGCAGTGTACTGGGCAGGTGAGTGCTCGCACCTGCCCCGTCTAATGTAGGCGTCAAGCATAAATAAGCAGTAGTCCCCCCAAGATATCGGGGGAGAAACTAGTTTTCGGTACATTTTTGGGTAGGGATTGTCTTGGTAAATCTTTTCTTCACAAAAAATTAATATGCCGTCTGGTCATGATTCACGCCGTGGCGGCGTGATCAGCAGTTTAGATGAGCTTGTCTCTGGAAACGCTCTTTTTAAAAGCAAAACACCTGGTCAGAGCGGTGCTGGTTCTCATTCCCATGTAATGAGTAATCCGAGTTAAGCGAAGCGTGATTTGCTCGAAGAGCGTGAGGCTACACTCAAGTGTCTTGAGGTCACCAAGGCAGCTCAAGAACATGTATCTTCAGGCGTCAAAGAGTCGCGTTCTTTGCATAAACCACCTCCAAGGTCTTCGGAGGCCGAGTCCAATGGTTTGTTTTATTGTTTGTTTATGACGCTCTTAAGTAACTAATGTGTATAGCTGATGGTGATAGCGAATGGGAACATGTGTGAGATGTGTTTTATTTAATTTTACTGGGCAGGTGAGCGGATGCTTTTTCCTTCAGCGTAAAATGTCTTACTGATGGGAAATCAGATTTGTTTTCGTTTAAATGGTGTTATGCGACTTTGTTCGAATGTTTCTTGTTCAACATATTTGGTCTAAAGATTTCAGGTTATTTTTCCAATGTATTGTTCAGGAATGGTGATGGTATTTTTTCCAGATGGGAAAGTTGTAAGTCATTACGAATATATCGCCTATATATGATGGAGCATTTCAAGGCCACTCGTCCGTGTGGCCATGCAGGACGGGTTATCGCGGGTCCAAAGATTTCAGGAGGCTCAAGTGCTGAACTTAGCAGTTATTTTGGCCCATTAGTCCTAGAAAGGGGTTGGTTTCTGGTACCCGAAGCTAGAAGTGAGCTTCTTGGCACTCGTGGAATACGTTTGACTGCTTGAAAGGGTGTGTGTGAGTGCCCATGCCCAGGACCACTTGGAATCATTGGGCGTGAATAGACTTCCAGGAGATAATGTGATACAGCAGGTTCCGAGAGATTCGGCAAAAACGCTGGAGAAGCGGAGGGAGGGGAAATGCGACAGTACTTTTGCTGCAAATTTAGGACAGCAGAATTAGGCTTAGCGTCAAATATGCCACGGTGAGGCCATTCTGGCACGGTTGATCACCGCTGCAGTGTGACTATTGGTTGTCATCGTGCAGGGTACTGTACCTGGACAGCTCGATTGTCTGCGCTGTAGTCACCTTGCGAGGTGGAACACCAGATGCCCTGCGCAGGAGGCACGAGCATCGCTGGAGATAATATTTGCGAAACCTTTGTGATGGGGGAGTGGGCTTTGTCGAAATGTGTTCTCTTTGAAACGTGGACAAGCCAAGGAGGAAGGATGTGTTCAATGAATGGACGAGTTGACCACCCTTGATCGACGATAGGAAGCCTGGGCAATCACACTATGTACGTTGAGTCACATCTTCTGGATAGTTCCTTCGTTAAAGAACGCTAGTAGCTTCTGGTGCCGCTTGTACGACCAGATGTGCGTTTACTGGGCGCTCTGCTCGCCAAATTCTTATCCGACCCGTCTCGATAATTGAGCCTTGCTACTTCAAGAAGCCACCCAAGTTGATGGTCCTTGGTCCTTGCCAGCGATGATAATACTCGACCACTTGCCCATAGCATGCGAAACCAAACGAATTTGGGCTGTGTGCAAGTTTACCGACTCTATTATTGGCACATCTGAATCTACAAGGCTAGACCCGAGATTTTCCCTAAAGTCCTCTTCTCAGCTCGGTGTATCTACGTCCTCTGATTGGATTGTGACCGGTTGCGTGGATGGCATCCCCGCCACCTATCACATCTCCTGCACCTGAAGGCACACATTGCCAGGAAAGCTCGTCACGCGGGTGTGATTGGCTACTTTAGATGGATATAGCCGCCTATGCTAATCATCTGCATTGGCTGAATCCCAGATTTCGCTGTATATACGACTTCTGTCGTTTTGAATGGCTCTGGTTGACCATCGAAATTGGTTGGGCTAACCGCCAGGACGACCACGACCGTAAATAAAGCAGAGTAAAAGCTAAACAGGTCCCTCTAAGCGCCGCCACTTGGAGCGAGAATTATCTCTACTCGAACCTTTGCTCTTTTTGTTGTTGTTATGAAGAGAAGCATAAATAGAGCTTCATTCGCTTGAGCGGCACCAAATCCCCTTGTTTCTCTGCGAATCTGAAGGTGTATAGAGTGTTAAATTGACTTCTGTTCCCGCTAAACTTCGGAATTAACTCGGTCTAGTAAGCCTTGTGCGTCTTATAAGCTCTTTGGAATGGTTCGCTTACAGACACAATATGAAGTTACCAGAATACAATGGCGCCGCTCAGTCACGAAGATCTAAAATCAGTTGCTGCCGCGCTGGCGCAGAAACTTGATTCACTGAACATCGACTACGCCATAATGGGAGGCGCCGCCACCTGCTTGTTGAGTCCAGACCCAAGTCGAAGGACCGAAGACGTTGACCTTGTCGTTCATGTTGACGATCGTATGATCACCGCGGACCTTCTTACTACTAAGCTTCTCACCTCCTTCCCGTCTGAGTTCGAGGGCGTTAACCAATTTGGACACACCATTCCTGCATACAGGCTTTGCCGACTAGGGGAAGCCGCGCAGTTGGTGGAGCTGGAAGTATTTGATTATAAGAGTTGGCCGCAACGTCCCCAGTACAATATCCGGGCTGCTACACGGAAGACGCTCAATATCAATGGTCAACGGGTTAAAGTCTTTGGCCCTGAATGGATTCTGCGGGAAAAAATTTTATCCCAGTATCAGCGCCAAGGCAGTCCTAAAGAAGCCACTGATATTCGTGATATCATCAGTATGATCCCTTTGGCTGTGCCAGGCAGACCAGAGCTCGACTTCAATCGAAATCAGGAGTCCCAAAACGCCCTGGCAAATCTCCTGCAAAAGAGGCCGGCTTTAGCTCATGCTCTGAAGGCAAAGATCAAATGCAGCTCAATCTTCCAGAACTAGTAAGTTTTCTACTGTTCTCTACGACCTGCTTAATAACTAAACGGCGGAACTCATACGGTAGGAATTTCGGCGAAATCCTTCGGCCAAGTGTCGAGGTCATGTGATAGATGTGCTGGCTTTCTGGGACATCGAAAGACCTGCCGGTATTACTGAAACGTGCTATCAGCGAACGCCTATGAGACACGAATCACGGTTTGTATCGAATCTCTGAAGGTGATTCGAGTTTTATCACATGTCTGGTAGATAAGATGAATTGCTTTGCTGAGAGACTTCCTTAGCAAGACGCACTACGTAGCTGTAGCCGAAAGAAAATCACTGCTGAATACGATTCCCCCGCATATCTGTCGGCATATCTCTTCCCGAGCCTAGACGCTTTGAAATACGTCGATCAATGGGACCGAACATGGCCTCATGGATTCGACCAAAATTGCGGCTATACCACTCCACTGCTTGTTCATCAGGACAACCATCAAGAACATCATTATCAACCACTAGGTAACCTGTCATGAGAGATATCCAGGACCTAAGTGTCTCGCCCCATGCAGAAAAACCTGTCTCTGTTTCTTCGTCAATCGCAGCCTTGACAAAGCTTTTCACTAGCGCCCGTTCCAATGGGTAGTAAAGATTGTCGTATGTTTTATATCGTTTTGTTGGCGCTGCATCTCTTATTTCGCTCGAAGAACGGGGAATATCTTCCTGAAAAAGGTGCGCAAAGGAGTTCGGGAATAAGTAAAGCTGCAAGCTCTTTTCTGCTGGATCACCACGTGGATAATCAAATACTGCGCAAGACCGATCCAAGCGGTTGTAGCCAGAATTTATTTCCTCCAACATCTGCTGTGGGTTTGGATGGTCTTCCAGGATTTCCGGAGGAGGAGCACGATTTGGGACGCTTCGATAGAATCCTGCGCTTTCAAGCCTTTCGACGGCGGCTGTGTATTCGTCGTCCTGCACCACAATCATAGGGGCCTACAACGATAGTCGGTTAGTAGAATCTCAGGCTTTACTTCTAAAGGTACACATTACCCCAACGGCAATAGGGACGCCCAGATGCCACATTGCAAGCGCTCCCCAAGGAGCCACATTGAGCGGTTGAAGCGTTTTGCTAAGTCTTATTGAGAGCCTCTCGGGCTCGGTCTGTCTCATGCGCCTAAACATAGCTATATTAGGCAAGCCGATTCTGTCTGCTTTGTCTCGAGCGCGCGTCCTTTTTCCCGTGAAACAAGGAATATATGGTAATCAGGAGGAGGTTAGAAGGATGACGGATTGTAAAGGGATCGCGGCGTAGACTAGGTATTTAAGAAATGGTCGATCACCCGCAATCCGCTACTTAGTATTGTCCGGTTGCCCCGGAGTTCCGGGATTTTCCATTCCGATGCGGATCCCTACAAGATTCAATTCGGAGCCTGACAGACACGTGCGGTTTTGACTGGCTAAGTCTCTGTGGGTCAAATTCAATTAATCGAGACTGACACTAAAAATGCCGAGTTATATCCACTGCAGCTCGGCTGTCAGCCGTACTTTCCCCTGGTGAGTCAGTTCTGCTGGAAAATTCGGGGCAAGATAGTAGAGATATAAATTGACTACTTGATTAGATACGGGCATTCGCGTAATGCCTTCTTTGTCTTAGGCAAAAGGGGCGAAAGCACGATTGAACATGTGTTTAGTTACGATGTAAAACATCTGTCCAGGAGGCTGCTACTCGTTGTGCTAATCCACGTGATTTTCACAAGCATTGTCCTTATATAAGAGAAGATATATGTTTCGGTCCTCGCTGGTCACCATGTCGCCTGAACGCCGCCCCAAGTTTAGAACAACGGTCGAGTTTTATGCGAATCCGTCCACCCGACTCAATTCCGTGCGCGACCTGGCCGAGACCTTTAAAGTGCTCTGTTTTTCAGAGCCGAACTCTAGAGAATACTTGAGCCCGGGCTTCTGCCTGGATATCGGTCCGAGAAAAATTTGCCACTTCTGACCAGGGTCGCCCTTCATCCCTTCTTAGCTTTAGCAGGAGGTTCACCTCTTCAGAGGACCACGGCTTGCCTTTCCTCGAGGTCCCACGGTGCCCACGGAATTTCGATAGATGATCCAAATCACATGGTGGCCGCTCATCTTTGTCCTTCGAAGTTTTCAAATCCAATTGGGGGATGCAGCGTGGCAGTGCGCCTTCAAATAGCCAAGAGAGAAATTGCAGACGTTCATCGAATGATAGAGACAGAAAATGAGCGCGGAGTGCTAGAAACGACGTATCTTCCTTCGGGCCGGACATAGGACCTCGAAACCGCTTAGACGGCTGTCCATCCAATGTTCGTGGCCTTCGCTTACGTAGTTTCGACTGTTGACCGCAGGTGGAGGCACTCACAGGGTTATCACACGAAATAATGTCGGCTTCGGCGTTGTCATAAGACGCGAGATTCTTCATATGGCCCTGGCCGTGTGGACTAACCGATCGAGGATTGCTATCCAGCCTTGTAGGCTGTGGGTTGGAGTTCGGGTGATAAACAAATGTGTCGCACAGAACGGCGGGCGGATCAGGATATGGACAATTCGTCTCCGAAACAACAAAACTGTCGTCTTGGTACGTAGACTGCAATTCTTCAATCATCCAAAGCCCGTCGTCGGCGAGGATTACCGGATCAACTGGAATGTCATTGTGTACATCATACAACCCCGCGCTCTGCTCCGAATTGGGTGTGCTGGGAGATGAGGCGGCCACTTGAAGGGCAGGCGCGTCACTTGGGCTATTGATGGCATCTTGACCATCCGGCGATGCTACTGAATCTAACGCGTTACCTGCGTGGTCTCCCAGAGATCGCTCGGCCTTCTTCGGGTGTCGTGCAAGGGATGGCGTGTCGGATGACGACAAAGATGACTGCGGCGGCTGAATATGGGAGTCTGTGGATATGCATGGACGGATTTTCGTACCCGTACTAACGCAAGCATCGACTGGTGGCCGCGCCGGGAGCTGATGTTTGGGCAATGGCAAAGTTCGGGGTCGGGGTTCATCACAAAGCTTAAGGGCAGAAGACTTGTTCCGTGAACAGTGTGTACGGTGGGATTGGGAAGGGGGATATGGTATGGGAAGAGAAGACACCCATGGCTTGAAGTTATCAATGTGAAATGCAGGCAACATATTTCAGGAAATGGGAGGTTCAGGATCTCTTGGCAGGGTTGACCCTCCTACCCTACAAAATTATGGCAGTTCTTCTTTACTTTACCGGCACTGTGACAGCTGTGATTGCGGTTGTTTGGATTCTACGAAGGACGCAATATTTACCCGAAGCGCAAGCGCAGCTAGAAGCCCCAACATACCCGAGTCCGATAAGCAAGAAGCTTGCAGAGGCACTACCGCACATCGTACTTTTGCGTCATGATATGTTCTTCTTTCTCTCTGGTCACACCAACTATCATTCTCTTCATACACATTCCTTTCCTTTTCACCAGGAAGTTTCGATAACTCCTGTCATTCCTTCCTACAGAATCTCTCACTACTACTTGTCCGGGACATTCTTTTCTCATTGCTCACTTGACGTAAGCAGACCGTTCTTTTTTTCTACATCAAATTTCGCAAAGATGCAGTTCGCCAAGGCTATGCCGCTGCTGGCAGCCCTCACCACCAGCACTTTCGCGCGCCTCGAAGGCCACGATCGTCGCCAGGTCGCAACCGCGACCTTCATCAGCACTCCTTCGTCCTTGTCCACTTCTTCCGGCGGTGCTTGGACCAACACCCCTTCTACCGGCAGTTAGTCGACCTCTGGCTTCGGTAGCGTCACCGGCAGCAGCGGCAGCGGCGACACTTACATCGGCAACATCGGCAATCCTTATGGTAGCAACATCATCGAGGTTTCCGCCTCTGAAGCCAGCAAGTACAAGTACGTTATGCAGTTCCAGGGCTCCAACACCGAGGACTGGACCGTCGCCATCTGGAACAAGTATGGTCCCGACGGTAAGATGGACGGCTGGTATGGCAATGCCTGCAAGACCTTCACCCTCTCCCCTGGTGCCACCAAGTACATCGCCTTCGACGAAGACACGAACGGAGGTTTTGCCGCCGCGGCCGGTTCTATCCCCACCGACTCCAACGGTGGCTACACTTCCACCTGGGGTGAGTTCGATTTCGGCTCCGCCGCCAACGACAACTGGTCAGGTTTCGATGTCTCTGCCATTGCCGCCCAGAACGCCGGCCTCACCGTCCAAGGTATGAAGATCTGCGATGCGCTGGGCTCTACTTGCTCTTCCATCACTTCCAATGCTGGCACCGTTAGCAATGCCTACACCACGGCCGAGACTGACGTCGGCGGCATTGGTGGCAATCTCGCTGCCGGCCCTGTCCGCCTGGCTGTCACCATCGACTACAGTAGTTAAATGGTGTTTGTATGGAACATTCGCAATTGCAAGCGTATTTGTCTAGCATGCCGCACATATATGGGAAATCCAAAATTATAGAATTTTGCCTTTTTTTCTTTTGGCTATGATGCCGGTGTTTAAATAGATCAGTGGTGAAGTAGCTTCAAAAAGCCGATTTTGACAGCAGGTGGCTGTTTTCGGGAAAGGAGCCTCGAGAAGAGATGCCGAGGCTGCCGCTAGGTTTCTATGGGCTGCAATCAAAGCGGCATAAAAGAAACACATTGCCCTAATAGGTCTAATAGACAGGTATTACAGGTGAATGGTGTTGACGGCATAATATTGATGAGTAGTTCGTTGGGTGCGACGCTCGCTGGGGCGCGGCGCTGACCCGTGAGACACGGTGTCTATGTTGCGGAAGTGTTCACTAGCCGGTGTGGAAGTGCGGGGGGCCGCGTGGCACGGCTGGTTAACTATAATGATTAATGATTAATAATACCGTAGTGATTAGTTAGTTACTAGCGGTACCGAGGTTATCCTGCCCCAGATGTTAAATATCAAGAGAGCACCGTCAAACGAACGTACTCTCTCGATCTGCTTGTTTTCGTTACTATCGCAGTATTGGTACTCTTGGTCACGTCCTATATACTCCAGGAGTATGGCTCGCGTTGCAGTGGCTGGTGGAACAGGCGGACTAGGCCAACGAATTGTGGAAGCTATTTGCACTAAGCAGAAACATGTCATTTTCCTCTTATCAAGGGCTGTGAGTCAAGTCTCTCGATCATTGAAAATACTTTGACTGACGGAAGTTAAAGCACAACGATGGACCTTGTTCCCCGGTCACTGTACTCCCCATCGACTATAGCCAGCCCACGCAGATCGCAAAAACCTAACGGGAGAATCAAATAGATACTGTTATCTCGACGATTGGCATCCTTTCCGAAGACGCTCACGTTGCCCAGCTCAATCTGATTGATGGCGCGGCCCGTTCAGGCACAGTTACCCGGTTCGCTCCTAGCGAATTTGGCTGGGACTACGTCGAGGCGGAAAATCAGTAAGGTCCAATGCAGGTGTGCGAGCGTACTTCCCAAGATGGGAGCTAACTACAAGGCAGAGGGTATCCTTTACTACTTCCTGGAATGGATACGTATAAGTCCAGCAGCTACAAGGTCGAAGCAGTCAAGAAGCTAAAAGAAACACACTTGGGCTTTACTCGCTTTATTGTTGGGTTCCTGCTTGACTATTATGGTCACCCGCGTGAGACGGTATGCGTCACTCCACTTGCCGTTGTGGTTGATGTCGAACATGGTAAAGCTGCTATTCCCGGTACTGGCGACGACCCAGTAACTCTAACCCATTCTTTGGACATCGCTCGTTTTGTAACAGCGAGCCTTGACTTTCCGGATTGGCCCGAGAGGTCGTGGATTATTGGGGATACCGTAACGTGGAACCAGATGTTGCGATGGGCGGAGGAGTTCTGCGGTAAATCCCGGTTCTAGATTCCGTTAAGAGTTTCGTGATCACTAATCCTTCTCTTCAGGTCAAAAGTTTGACATTCACCATGACTCCGAGGTAGATCTGAAGAACGCGGTTATTACAGAGCTTCCTGGAAATGATGCGGCCCTGGCGGTGGTCCCGAAACCATTACTGGATGCCATTCGTGCAAACTGGAGCATCGGATTCATAAAGGGGCATTTCAATTTGCCGAGCCAGTCTGCGTCGATGGAAACTCTGAATGATAAACTGCCCCATATGAAGCCTATTGAAGCGAAGGAATTTCTGAGGAGATGTTGGGGCAAGTAAGACTGGTCGCCTCGTGGCGTGGATAGCAACTTCCCTACCAATCCCAAGTATGGATCATGACCGACTTTCAGGTTACTGTAGTAAACCGCAGGTGCCACGGAGTGCCCGTAGCGTAGGCAGAAGGGCATGGAAGAGAGGACATTGTATTCTATCCTGTGACATGGATCATAACATATGGAATCGGCTTCTGGGCATATATTTCTGCATACATTCATGTCTACTGTGTGATGGAGCGTCCTGCAAGTGTCTCTACAGCAGTAAACCATAGAGTATATGACCGCGGCCGAGACTTTTTTCCCTTCTCCAGATCCGTCAATCTTTTTGTCGTACCCAATAACGGATTCCCTCGGCTGAATATGCGTGATATTATAATCGTTGAACACTACACCACGTCGGTTCCGACCGTCCAGCGTTACCTCGGCAACGGTCTGACTGGTGTCGGCTACAGCACACAGTGCTTATATACAGCCACAGAACTTAACTTACTGTAATTACAACCGAAGAAGTTTGATCACAAGACTTATCATTTCCTTCGAGCTAACGAGCACAGTATCAGGATACTAAAACAGGCAATGTTCCATGTCAATCAGTATAGACTGCCATGTCAACATCTCCGGGAGTATTCGCAGGCTGTTTCAACCACAGACGAAGAGGTCCTCCATCTCAGTGTCAAGGAATACATACCATTCGATAACCAAGATCCGAAACCCGGTGATGTGACTATTCTTGCTGCCCATGCCAATGGGTTTACAAAGGCACGTACATTTTCACACATTATATGCTGTACACTTGGCTTACATCCAACTGAAAGGAGCTATATGAACCTCTATGGGATGACTTGCTACAGCACCTTCAGAAGTTGGGAGTATCTATCCGCGCAATATGGATCGCCGACGCCGCAAATCAAGGAGCAAGCTACGTTCTGAACGAGCAGAAACTAGGAAACGAGCGTACGTCGTCACGGCTACTTGGAAAGTTCCCAAATCCTAACCTTCGGTCAGCGTCCTGGTTTGATCACTCTCGGGATCTACTGCACATGGTCAATTTTTTTCGTGACAGAATGCCTCGCCCTATTATAGGTATGGGCCATAGCATGGGGGCATGCCAGTTGGTGGAGCTCTCCTTGATACATCCCAGTCTATTCTCAACCTTGGTCCTCATTGAACCGGCTATCACGCGATACTATACTTTACAAGATAACTGGCTAGCGCCTGCTGCCTCCGCAGCTCGCCGCGACTGTTGGAAGAACAAGGCCGAGGCCGTTTCTAAGTTGCGTCAGATCCACCTGTATCAGCAGTGGGATTCACGAGTGCTTGACCGGTTCCTGCAGTATGGTCTGCGAGATCTACCAACCTTTGTCTATCCAGAAACTCCGACGGCAGAAGGGGGTGTCACACTCACCACACCGAAATATCAAGAAGTCTTCTCATTTTTGCGGCAAAACTTTCCCAGTTCAAAGTACCCTCGACCAGAACGTTGGCCAAATAAAGCCACTCATCCAGACTACGATCCCACCGCGAATCAGATAGCGCCATTCTATTGCCCAGCGCCAGTAATGGCATTTCATAAGCTCCCCAGCCTGCGACCAAGTGTCCTATACCTCTTGGGTCACAGATCACACAGCGCCGCGGAGGAATTTGCTAAAGACAAGCTTGCTCTCACAGGCACTGGAGTTGGTGGTTCAGGTGGCAGTGCTTTTGGCAAGGTGAAAGCAACAATGCTTGACGCTGGTCACTTGTTACCACTGGAGCGAGTCAACGACACAGCTGCTGCGGCAGCAAATTGGATTGTGCGGGAAATGGAGGATCTGAACAGTCTCACTGACGAGAACAAGCTGAGGTGGGATTCTCTGTCTGGGAGACAGAAGCAGATGTTCAGCCAAGAGTTTTACAAGGCATTAGAATCAGGCCCTCCAAAACTTATTGGAAAGCTGTGAGAAACGTTGAAGCTTTGGCTACTGTACTGTGGTATAAAATGCACAGACTCTATACTGCCTGTCCGAGAGTGGGGGATATCCAACGGCTCCCATGGGTGATTGATAGTGGCTCTGAGATTATAGGTAGCCTGACGCGACCGAAACTCCGGCGATGTTAGTTCAAAATCTGTCACTGAAAGCATCCAAAGGTAGGCGTGGAATAATACTCAAAAAGAGGTTCTGCAGGTAAGAGACCTCACGAACATTTCCCCGTCTTCATTCATTCGCATCGACGTATCTATCCAAACCACGCGTAGATGTTCCGCCATGGGAAAGTTGGAGCAGGCCTCTCTCAAACGAACTGTCCGTATATGGGCTGTTCATCGTCGTACAACGGAGACTGACTAAAACAACCTCGCATAATTCCTTGTGACGGTTTATGGATTCATAGATGCTATAACCTATCTTGTATTGTCACGTTTTCAAACATAGATACTCTAGACGAGAGAGGATACTTCATTCTGGTCTTGCCTTCCCCATATACGTAGCCCCCCCCGGAAAGGTGTGGGAAGTGCTTGGCACGGCTAACATACTCAATCCGAGTCCCAGGCTCCCGCGAGGAAGAAGTTCGTTCCCGTATCTGTCACCCGTCTTCTCTTCTTGATCATGATGCAGCCAGGAAATTCACAGCCGAATCTCCGGGTAATCGTTGTCGGTAATTCAATTGCCGGACATCAATTAGCGCTGTCTTTGAACCCGATACTGAATCACTCCACAGCCATGGGCTCCGAATATATGACTGTGTCCTCGGCGTCTCAACGGACTCCCAGGCTTATCCTAGTACTCATCGAACATTCGCTGCGGGCCATTCTTTTCTAATAATATCTAGCAAGAACCACCTCATCTATTGATTTCTCTTTACGAGGATAGGCCGCAAGCACATGGTAATGAAATCCCTCGACGCAGGCGGGAAGATATTGATAATCACGTCTCAGCTGGCGGACATGTGCCCATTGGCGAGGTCTACTAAAGGGCCGTAGATGATACACATCCTGCCATGGAGGAAGTCAACTCCAAGCAGCGGTACAAGGACGGATGTGCACGCAGAGGAGATTCAGCCCCCACAAGGTGTGTTGTCCTAATTCACGGTCACGACTGACTGAGGAAAGACGACCCCAAATGTAGGCCACAGCGGAAATAGTGCGATGGAAGGAGCGGCCACGTTGGCTGATAACCAGGCATAACTGATTCAACGCTCTTATCATCGAACCTAGGAGATTGATCCGTCGTCTATAAAACTGGCCGAAATCTTGTCGACCGCGAATTGCAAGACTGTGCATCTCCGCTCATGACCTGACTCGACTGGTGGCGGGCGAAACGATCAAACACAGGCTGATTATGCATCTGCTCCCTTGAAGAAATACGTGATTGAAAGTCATCCTCGGATATAGTTGGCGCAGCCAAGTTGGATCAGCTTCCCCTTCCGCCTATGGCAGGGCAAGCTTGGATGTCTTACGGGTGAAGGCTCTTGGAAGCGGACACTATGGTGCGCCCATCTTTTGGTCAGCTTCGGTGACGCTCGTTCTAACTTGTCCGCACCACTGAGCGTCGAATTAAGGGCGTTTCTGGTGCCACCATCTGTTGAGGGATCCCAGCAATGGACATTGCCTGGATTTGTGTATATCTCTCTACTGTGCGCCGTTTCTGGAAGGACTATTGAGGCCAATGATCATATGCCTCCTTCCTCGACCAGTAGTACTGATCCTGGACCTTTAGCCCAGATGCTCTCCATGATCGACCTCGAAATTATCTAGTGGGTGTGGATTTTGGAAACTTCATTCACATAGTGAATTGCTTCTGAGAGTAAATCATCTCCGGAATTTCCCGTTTAAGAGATGCGGACGCAACTAACATAAATTGCGAACTGTCGCTTGCTGCCGGTGCTCTCTTGTACCGGAATAGTATCCGATTGTGGCCCTGTTCACTGTGCGCTGTAGGTCTTCCATCCTGCGCTTTTTGCAACCCTGGCCACACAAGGTGGAGGGCAGAACCACGATTGCACTAGTTCTTGCTCTGCTTAGTGGGTGCCACTTGCCCAGGTACGGCAATCTCTGGCTTTGGCAGTCGAGTTGAGGCGGTGGAGCGCAGTGTGGCAGCTGAGTAACGAGGCTTGTGAAAAAGCATGCAGCTTGGGCGAGGAAATACAATGGTGATAAGTGTATCTGCGTATACAGACATCCTCTTGATGGACAGCGCGGAATATCGAGAGCCTTCCCAGCCTTATTAGGATTGTATAGTTGTCGACCTTTATTGGAGCAGAGTAGGGCTGTCGACCGCGCCTTACATCCTGATAGGTGTGATACATGGTCGGCATCGGCGAAGTCGAGAAATCGGAATCGTTGAGCCCTGTCGTGCCTGAATGTGTCAGAGGAACTTTGCCTCGATGCTTCGAAGCGACATTGAATGAGCGTTTACTGTATACCCCGGTATCCTTTTACGATATCATCCGCAAAGCTGGGTGCAGGCTATCTAAGTCGTCGACGCCCTGGTTGATCCTGTATACGTTACTTTCCAAGGAGCGACTTAAATTGCCAGATTCGTCTAATTCGCCCCCGACTGCTAGGTTGCTGCTTGCGTGTTCAGAGGAAGGACGTTTCGATCGGACTGGGGAGCCCTCAGCGTCGCCGCGTCAGCCGCCAGGATCCCCGGGAGGGTTGGAAAGTCATGTTCCTTCAATCGGTCCACTTCACGTTCAGCCCCTGAGCTGAGTCCTGTTGGGGCGAGGTTACGTCAAGCCTCTTGTGCCGATGTTTTCCTTTGTAGACCGGCGGTGCGTATAGCTAACTCAGTCGTAGCACGTTTCTTGGAGATGTCCAATGCAACAACAGAAAAGACGCTAAAGATCCCGCCAACTGGGGCCGGTGGGCTTTGTCGGCATGATCAGCAGGCCGCTTGCGCGGCATGGGAAGGGCGGTAAGACATGTCTCAGTGCAACGCAATCTCGATATTCTTAAAGGCAATGATTATATCATCTCTGTTCATTCGACCGCTTTCCGCCCACTCTTTCAATAAGGACATAAATAGGGACGCTCCGCCGTTTAAATTCGCTCTTTATACGGTATATATCAATAACTGCATTATCCAGTATTAGGTTGTCTCTCCTGTTTCACTCTCTACACCTCTGCCGCTATGCATCTCCCCTTGGCTACTCTTACTCCTACCCTTCTGGCTGCTGTGACCGCCGTGACAGCTGCAACGCTGCCTGGCAAATTTACACTTGCCTCGCAAAATGGGGACTTGGTTCGCACCGACGGTCGTATGTGTCGCCTGACCCGTCGTGCTATGATATTGGCCGGTCCCTGAACTAACAATATTGGCAGAGAATATCTTCCTTGGTGCGAGAGAATCAGGCCACCCGAAATTAGTTTGTGAGCTATTACCCCAGAAGTCCGCTATCGCTAGCACACTGAAGGTTCCAAGTTCTTGGGCGTGTTCTAATACAACATGTAGTGTCTAGTAGCTCCGGTGGCGAAGTCACTTATACTGCAAAGGAACAAACTCCTACCGGCGGTCAATATCTGTTCGTTGTGTCCAACGATGTTGAGCCTGTTGGATTGACATCTCCTCACTCGGGCCAACTGCCAGAGGATGGCCAGATCTCGAACTTTAGTGTCCGTGACGATGGCGTCTTTGTACATGGTGGGAAGCCATGGTTTGCGGTCGATCCGGACGTGATGGGTTCTCGCAAGATCTTCTGGCTAGGATTGGGCCACAGCAAGTACCAGCAGGTGCTCCTCTCGGTCAATGAGTGTGAAGATTGTTAAACAATGGGGAACGGATTAAAGGTTGGCCGCGACATCAAACCCTCCCGAAAGTCAGAAGACTACCTTCTAGCCTGAGAACGAGGAAGCGAAAGATGGTGTATCCGGGCCATTGTGGGGCAAAGGGGGCATTGCAGACATCTTATGTAACTGATTCTACATCATGGCTCAGGCCTTGAAGGAGCATTTATCAACCAACTACCATTCACTCTTTAATAAAGCCCATGTTTGCTGATCCCGATTCCAATACCTGTTTGGCTTGCTTTACTAAACTATTAAGTTCTCCTTCTATGTATATAGTAACTGGATAGAGAGATCTGTATATCGCCGAGGGAGTTGGATTCTAAACCACAACCCACGAGGGTGCGTATGGACTCGTCTTTTCGTCTAGTGAGAAAATCTACAGACAGCGAGGGGTCAGCGTATGAAATCACCATTACCACCATCGCAAGTGCCGATGCGAGACAGATACCATTGTCAAGTATCACCTGTCCAGGGTCAGTGCACAGGTGGCCGGCATAGGGAAGTCTCGACAACCTAACCAGTCCACCCAAACTCTTGAGGGACCACTATTCGGTGGTGGCGCACCCGCGAGGCATCACCCTGCAGCGCAGAGGACGGCCCGTGGGAAGCATCCAGCACACCGGAGACGACTTGTTCGTCCTCCACTGCCAAGCGAGCGGCCGCCTCGGGCCCAAGTGCATCTGGCCAGGAATGCCACAGCCACCGTCGCATCTCGAGAACCGTCAGATGTGGCCATGGGTGATGGGGATCCTCTGGAGTCAAGTGGCGCCTAAAGTGCGGCGACCACCGCTGAACTCCGTAGTGGTGACACATTAGCGAACCTCGAAGACGATGCGAGCATCGGAGTCGACCAGGAAACACGCGAAGAGCTATGGCACGCTCGCATGGGTCATTTAAATAGGGGAGTCCTGCGGCTGGTTCTCCAACGGTCTGGCACTCTATACTGCCCTCTGGCTAACCAGGAACTGCAGGCAACGCCGCGGTCTGCGGCGTGCATGGCGGGGAAGCAGCATCAGAAGAGACACTCCCGATGTACAAATCCGTCAATTCGATCCTTCAGGATTTTTGAGTTGGTGCATTCTGATCTAATGGAAAGGTCTGTTGGCAAGAATGGCTCCAGGTACGGTGTCACCTTTACTGATAATTATTCCTGCGGCTCGTGGAGCTACGCGATGAAATGGAAGTCTGAAGCGCTACAGAGATTCCAGGTCTTTGAAGCATGGGTACGCCGACAATTCGGGACCCGTATCAAGCGGTTTCTGTGCGACAACGGAAGAGAATATCTGGCCATCAGCGCCTATCTCGAGTCCTAGGGCATAGAGTTTGACATATCTGCTCCGTACTGCAGGGGCCTGGCGGAGCGTACGAACCGCACGATCCGGGAACGGATCAACCCGCTCATGTATGATGCGAAACTTCCTCTATCCTTTTGGACCGAAATCCTTGACACGGTCGTCTACCTGAAATTACGAGCGCCGGCATTGTTCCTGCAAAAGAAGCCCCCCTATGAGGTTCGATACGGAAAGCCACCAAGCTTGTCCTATCTCCGCCGAACCGGCTCGCAAGGTTAGGTACTGATTTCCAAAGCACAGAGGTTTAAATTAGTGCCCCGTGCCACTGAGTGCCGGCTGCTCGGGTACAGCGAACCGAATCACCATAAACTATACGAGGTCCATTCCGGACGGATCGTCTTTTCCCGTGATATTGAGTTCGACGTTAAGACCCCCGTGGCGCCACACATCGAGGGCGAAGCTGGCAACGACCCCCCGGGAAATGATTTTCAGATACTTGACCTTTCCAATATACCGGTCGCTGCTGTGGACCTCAGTCCACCGAAACTGACGTTGATGGTAATACCGTTAATTGTGCTGCCTCCTCAACCTCCACCGTCAGCAGACGAGCCAGAAGTGGGCGGTACTACACACGACACCGCTTTTTCTGAAATGATTAATCCCGTAACGTCCGAAGTGCAAGGTATACTGGATCTAGGATGCTCGCTCTTCGGGCGACGGCGGGAGCCATCCCGACGAATCCTCGAAGCGATGGACAAGGTCTACTTTATATTATTGTGGTTGTTCTCAGACGGTGACTCACAGACTTTCCAAGAGGCCGTGTCTGGTCTATATCGTGTGGAATGGTGGGCGTCCATCCAGAGGGAATACAGCTCACTTCTTGAAAATGGTACATGGGATAAAATTCTGCGAAAAGACGTTCTACCTGGACATCGGGCTATCGAGAGTAAATGGGGTTTCAAGTCCAAGGTGAATGGAGTACGAAAATCCGCCTGGTCATCAAGGGCTTTCGCCAGAGGACTAGAGTCGACTATCATGAGACATTCGCGGCGGTCAACTCCATATATCAGCCGTGCATTCCCAGTTCTGGCGTCCATTCGATGTGCTGCAGGCTCAACAGCGCCGACCCGGATAAATGTGATCCAACGGGCCTTTGTCTGACAAGCGGAGGAAGATATTATCAGGAATTTTGCACCGATCAGTCTTGGAACTCGACGAATTGTTTGCCTAAAGATATCTGCAGTGATCAGGTATGTCTTATCTCAGTGTAACAACGGAAGTCTTACTGGTAATTTTGGCAGAACGGCGGCAACTCGGACTGGACCTACCAACTGACCTCCTGTGTAGAGGGACTTTGGTGTTGTGGTAGTTCCACCTCCTGCTGCAATACACACGAGACATTCACCCTGAGTCCGACACTGGTCAATTTTGATTTAGATCCAAATTTCAGCCTATCCGCTACCGCTGCTCCTACAACAACGGCAATTATCATCCAGACAGAAGATAGTAGCAGCAACAAGAACGAGTCCCAGATGCTGACGAAGGTGGCAATTGGAGTCGGGGTGGGTGTCCCGTTGGTATGCATAGCCGTAGGGATGCTCGGTGTTGGGTGTCTCTTGGGCAGGAGAAGCAAGCAGAAGGCCATGTCGCCGGCGAAACCTGGACATCGTGTAATGAGTATCCCGCTGGAGAAGCCTAAAGGGGAGATAGGGTGTCCACGTTGGTCTGATGATGCTGCGAGTACGTACAAGTGCTTAGAAATTGTACGTAGCGGCTGAATGATAGGACGACAAGAAAAAGCGTCTAGCTTTTGATGGCTTATGGTGGCTGTCTCCATATATTCACTGCACGGTGCAAATGTTGACATCACCGGCTATACCTACTAATTCTTGGTATTTGTATAACAAAAGCTTCTATAATAATATGGATCGAGGAAGCCGGACCTTTTCCCGACGAGCTTGTAGATCCTTGTCAAGTCCCCTCTATGTAGAGCCTAGAGTCTATGAACGCTTGGTATCTTCAGATGTAATATATCATGCACAAAGCTCCGGTAAGGGCCAAGCTGCCCAATAACATGTGCACTCATCATAGTATGGTAATTCCCTAGAGGAATCATTCGTGATCTGATACTGCTTCAAGTAACCCTACCTTTGGCACCAGAATATCATTTGTATTACCCTTTCCACTCATCCTGCTCACAATGACGGGCTTTCTCCCTTCCACCCAAATGCTGACCAACAATCAATCGAACCAGTACAAACGACCGCCCCTGATTTTATAAGAGCAAGCATCATGTCTGATCGTTATCCTTAGAATCTCTGTACTTGTATCAATACGGGAAGTAGAAACTAGGGTTTTCTGGCTCGACTTTAGCAACCAGCAAATTATTGATAAGATACATCAACACGTAGAATAGTTAACCTTGTAAGGTCTTCCAGAAAAGGTAGAAATTTGACTTGGTTATAGTCTCAAAGAGTTCTTTTCCATGTTATATTGTCAGACGTGATATACTAAGCTATTGAATCTTTTTCTAGGGCATAAAGAATAACATAGCATACTTCAAGTAAAAGTCCATGGGAATGGCCAATTGCTACTAGCTCGGCTGTATAGACCGAACAGTGCACCATCAAACCAATACTAAATTTGGCGAGACCTTCTGATCTGCTAGTTGCAGTCGAGGGCCACTGTTGCAGCCACTAGTTCCTCCTCTTTCTTCGGGGTGTCTAAGAAAACTGTTATACTGGCTTAGGCCTCTCTTGATAAACCAATGGCCCGTATCTTCTCTCGACCCGCCTTGATTTTGGTAAAATGAAGTATTGTGTCTGCCACTGTGCTAGGAGTTTTGGGTTGATATGTGTGAATAATTTTCAACGACTGTGCCCGGTTGGAATTCATTGTCTGCAGTGTTTCTGCTAGGGTATAAGCTTGAGTACGGATGTCTTCTCCGGTTCGTCCAGAGGCCACACAACCTTGGCAGTCACCATGTGAGCAAAAGATGTAAGCTGCACATAAGATCCGTTTAGTGACAATGCATAGATGCTGCATCTGGTTTTTAGTATCTCTGTACTGAAGCGACTCTCACTTCTGAGTCACATGTATCCTTCCTGAAATTCGCTAGAGGACACATAACTAGAAGAAGACATTCGTGTGTCTCCGCCGTGAGTATTTGGCAACAGGGAGAACCTGATTGAGCCGTCGAGCCACAGGCACGAAAGTCTACGGTGGTAAGGGACGAACAAGCTTCCTGGTTGGTATACTCGACGATATAGAGAACATTTCTTTGACAGTGAACCTGATTGGCAAGAATAGTTACCTGCTATTGTGTAATGCAGACATGGGAATGATGTTTGTCAACTGAAATCATAGCATATTTGCACGGTTAACAAAACCTAGCTACACCTTAGATCTGTCATGATAGGCTCTTAGCCATACCAGGCTCCACCTTAGACGATGATTGGCATAGGAATGTGCATCTGCATGCAAAGAATATGGGGCCGTAGCACGAGAACCCTCGGAATTGGTCACACCTCCGCGGCAACATAGAGGATTCCCACCAATGGTTCTACAGGCTAGGCCGCCTTGGCAACGTCTGTATTCCACAGTGGGTATGCAGGTGTGTTACTGCAGGCGCGGAAATCAATTCCGAGAGAGATCCCTAGTTGCCCTAATGGCTCCAAATGAGATCCAGAAAGAATGAAGAAGACCCAGGAGGACATGCCGATCCCGGGAAAGTATGTGATAGTACTGTTCCAATTTGTGGTTGCCAAGGAAGGCTATGGAAGATAAGGGAGCTACTGTTACTTCACGTACTCCAGAAAATAGAGGCCGCAGCCCTAGGCGTATCTAACCCCCGTTGTAGCGGAGGTGGCCCCATCTCATAATGCCATAAATCGACTTCAGACACTGTTTAGCGGTCTGCCTTACTGTGAAGTCAAGTGTTGAAGGCCATTGAACGGCGTACACGGGAATGCACCATTCCCCACACCCACTCACCCCGACTGGGAAAAGGTTTGCTTTTTCGTCTCCCACCATTTAATATCGGCCTTAGAGGTCGAATAACATAATTGACAGGGGAGCCAGTGACATGTAATGGTATGATAGGATTTTATAGTAAGGAAACAAAGCTGGATTCAGCATCACCAGATCATGCTTTTTCCTCTCAAGTCGAGCAACCAGTGTCCCTAAGCATCACGGTGGTTCACTAGGCAGTAGTTTTTCGCTGCCACCACAGCGACGCAAACGACGACTTTTCGAGCTTGTGGGAGGTTGCAGCTGACTTAAAACATATATATTACGTTTTGTAAGCGGGGTGATGCCTCACCTCACTGCAAACACCGGAATCTTGCATCTGCTCTTGTAAGTCGGGTTGGCAAGTCTTGCCTTTCCGTCAATGCTGCTTTTCTAGGACACGCAAGGGATATTGCGCCGATTATCTCTAAATCTGATTATTTTACTAACTCGCAGTAACCTTGAAGGCGCAGTCCACGCTAGAAAAGCCCGGTATGTGAATTAACGCGTAAGCGGATTTTAGATGGATAATCAAGCAGTGATTTCCAGTAGCTTCAACCGCACTTGTGACAGCGCTAGGACTACGCCACTATATCAGGGATCCGACCTTTTCTGACGCTTCCGGATAAGAACGATAGCGTACATCAAACCACGCGGTTGCAAGTCCGAGAGAATAATACCCACCCCTAGCCATCGCCGTTCAGAAATACCGTTCCTTTATTGGGCGCTGCCAACCTAGCGTTTGCCCGGTGTACCTTTAGCACATGACTTCAGTTGGATTTAAGCGGTCCCAGGCACGAATTGGTCTCCTGCATTGAGTGAGTCTTGCAACAGCATCTTTCTATATTAATATCACGAGTTTCGAAATCGGAAACAGTCCAGCAGATGCAGCTTATTGACCTGGGCCCGTGCTTCTAGTGTTTCGAAGTATCCTACATCCATTCTCATGAGCCCTACTCACACGTCCTCTGGTTCATCCCCCATCCTTACTCTCCTCCCCATTTTGTCATTTTGGCTAACTTGCGCCGCTCACGTACTATGGTGAGGGTGATACGCAGAGAGATTCTTCCCGATGTCGAACTCACACTACACGTATTCGCCAAGAATGTTGTATGATAGAGGGTCGAACACCATATCCCATCGGGTATCCCCACTGTGAGTTTGTCTCTACCGTTAATACACTGTTGCATGTGCCAATCACTAAGAAACTCAGGGACCTTTGCAGCCAACCGTCTGCAGATATGTCACTCAGCCTGCAGTCCCAGAAAATTGTCGTCCCCGGCAGTGCGTCCACCACTGGAAGAAGTGATTGGTATCCAGAAGCCTACAGTCTCCATCAACAATTATTCTTAACACCCCTCTCAGATATGGGGAAGATAACAAGAACTGCACGCTTTGCAACAGCAGATAGAGCTCTGAAGAACTGTAATGAGCGATCTCAGGCTGTGTATCTCGGAGCAGAGAATATGTTAATGGGCCAAGCTCAGGGGCGGTTGCCAGAGCCATTTGCTGGCTCTCCTCCGTTCTACGATACTATATTGCTTCTACCTATCGTTTGCGGGACTTCGTTCCTGAAGCCTGAGATACTTGCCGAGATACATAAAGGTTTCTTCCAGGTTGATGATAAGTGGACGTGCTATAGGCGGAACTACTTTTCAATTTCGTGTTCGTTTACTTTGCAACCTTGGTCAAGCGCTCCGTTATACGTGAAAGTTTCAGATCAGTGGACAGAACGCATTACAAGGTTTGCCATGTCAATCTCCGCCATTGTGAATCAACAGGTCGCAGAAATCCGCGACTTGGTTCAACACAGCCCAAAACGGGATAAGCAGTCGGGCAGAAACCCGAGAAGGGTTATATTGCAGCCCTGTCAGCCTGAGCACTTGGTTGTTGGCCATGAAGCATCATCAAGCAGCATTCAACATGGCTTTTCAAAAGGCTATCACTCTACTGAGAGGCCCCTGGGTTACGAGGAATATCCGGGAGTAGTCCAGCCTTCACAACCCCCATACCGGCACACGTTCGAGCGGGTTCAGTTCCAGAGGGCGACCGCGAACAACGGAAAGCGGCGAGCTCAGCAACAGTACTACAACCTAGTCGTTGAGCTCTATGCTGAGGTCGCCAGCTCTGCTCGGGGAACTGAAAGCCAGTGGATCCGGGTTGCCAGGCGATTTTCGCATCCAATGGTAGTCCGGGGTCGCTCTCCAAATCACTTCAAAAAAAAACCGCCGCGACAGTCCAGCAAGCATGGGTCTCTCAGAAGGAATAAAAAGTAATCGCGAAGACCAGTAAAGTACATGACCACAACGGGTCACGTGCACGAGGCAAATCCGAAGCAGATATAGCGCTGTGTAGTGTCATATAGTACTGTACAACATCCAGGCCGCTTTGAATTTCACCTCATATAAGCAAGTCCTACTTGCAAAAGCGCGACGGATAGGGCTATATCTCTTGCTAACGCTATGTGTTGTCGTCGCGGGCGGCGGGCGGCAATAGAGGGGGTGCAAGTCTTGGACAGTGCCCTGAGTATTCTGGGTGTTCCCATATCCTCATGCACTTTCGATGTTCCCACTATATTCTGCTTAGCTAGTCATTGTCCTTTCTGTGCCACTAAACGGATTGAATTTCTGTTGATCGTGATCGATGTATAAACAACTCTCCAACTATGGGTCCGGCAAAGTTAGCGTTTAATTGCGGTTCCTCGTAGCGCACCGGAACTGATCTCAGCAACAAGCGATCATGAATCCAGAACCGGGAAAGGTGAAGGTTAAGTATTAGTGCCAGCTTCGTGTGCGAGCCCACACATGAAGGAAGCATTCAAGCACGCACTGAGATGACACGACGCTTAAAAAGAAGCACTATGCTTCTTTGGCGTGAGATATTATATGGCGACAGTCATATCATGCACCTTCGGTATTATCACGCAAATCACGCATTCCCTAGTAGATTGTCAATTGCGGAAAGGACGCAGGCTGGTGGCAAGGACAACAGACTTGCGTGGCGCTGGATTCCGTGGACTGCACAAACGCAGTTAAGGGTGTATATCAAGAACGATCCACTTCCATCCCGACATGAGCGGCAAAGAGCTCTCTTCGGAGTGGTCCATGAGTGATATTGGATTCCTCCAACTGATCGCTCTTAAGATAAGCTGCTCCCAAGCTCAACTCCATCGTCATGAACGACTAGGATGCTGCCCGGTCTAGTGATGATTCGCTCCCTTGTGGGTTTTTACGAGTAATCTCTAAGAGCATGAACACTGTTTCCGTGGTACCGGCAAGCGTTCAAGGCTGGTACCTTCCCAGGTGCTGTGCTAGTAATCGCGTAATGTTGTCTTCCAATGAGACTTAGACCCGCATTCCCATTCTGTACGCAACCCCCCCGGTTCTGACGGTACTCTCTGATCTTCTGGTTTCTAGCGCTCCGCTCGCTCACATAAAGACCAGTCCCCCATCACCAATTTTGTGCAACAATTCTCATGCTATTGCTTGCCACCTGCCGCTTCCAGATCCCCCATCGTTGCCCCCGGGATAGCTCGCCCAAACGCCCAGCCTATCGCAATTACGCTATGCGATGTCGGTACCATGTCAGTTTACTCCTTCTCCATATTTGCTAAACGCTTTTCACGGAGATTGCTTCGATAGGCTGACCCAGTGCTCGCTCATAGCTGACTCTAGAATCCTGTTTCGCAAAAAAACCAGCATTGACAATATGGAACTTTGCTATCCAGGTATTCGCCTCATCTGCTTAGAATATCTCTTAAATCACTAATTCTCACAAGCGTGCTGTGGCCGTTGGTTGTCTCCTCAGCGTTAATGACAGTAGTATCTGGTATCATTGAAAGCTCCCTCGATAAATCCAACGGGAATCCTCAGTATCGAATTGGCAATCGCACCTAACTTACAATTGGTGCCGCTGGATCTGCGACTTCCTTAATCTTGAATATTATGCGGCCCTAGCAGAAAGCAAGCCGGGTAAACTCCATCTGGGGACGAGAGAAAAGTACACTGGTGGATCAGCTTTGCGCTATGGGAATGTCCTTTTTCCGTTCAAGTATACTTTTACTTTCTGAGACACTTATTGGATGCACAAATCAGAATGAAGTGGCATTCCGATCAGTGCCATCGTGATAGGACTATTCGTACACTTACTCAGCATGGTACGCTCTCTCTCAGCAGCTTCTCTTCCCAACGAGTGATCAATTCATGTAATTACAGTTTAATCCTTCGCTTCGCAGAACTAGCCGCCAGATGTCCCGTACACCGATAAACAATGACATCGTTTTATCAGTTACTATGGGCAAATCCCCCAATTTTCTTGTCCCGCTATATGAATGTCCCGCATTTGAAACGCAGCTACCAAACTTGAGTCTATAAGTTCTTCCCTTACTCCCACTTCTGAACATACAATATCGCACACGCAGAAAACTCCAAAAAGAGGATTAAAAACCGGAATTCACACATGTTCTCAGTTAGTATCGTCGAGCCGTCTCCCCCACCAAATACCATTCATGTCGCGCGTCGAGTGCACGGAAAACTTAGATAGCATAATACCACCTGTTAGGTTTTCTGATTGAAATTCAGCTCCAGACTTTACGCACATCTATACCTTGATGCATCTTGCTCATTCGATATTTGGTATTTAAGTAGGATTGTAACCAATGCTGAATCCCGTTCGGTCTTACACCACGCTTCCTGTTGCGGAGCGCTGCTAGAAGGAAATAGTAATCAGGTGTTCAACATCTATAACTTAGCGCATAGCCTTACTATCTTAATGCCGACAAATGGCCCACATTCGCCTGTGTCGAGTAAACAATTTTCATTGCGCATACTGACCAGCTACTAAGGAGAGTATACTATACTTTCGTTTACTATAGCACATAGCAGCTCTTCTAGTCTACATAGATTGACAGACCAAGCAGTAAGCAACTCGATATCGCAGCCATATGAGGTTAAACAGGAAGATATTAACAAATTCATACCATCAATTCTACTATGCCTAGTCCGGATATGGCAGCAATCAAATATACAAGGCATTAAAAGCTAGCGGTATATATACGATTGCGGGAAGTCCAGAGAGATACCCAGTGGGACATAACCGCACGACGAAACTTATCTTGGCAGGGGACTTCAGTCGCCATCACCCAACAGGGAGCCACCGCGTGGTGCACCACTGCTTCGCATAACATGCCTAGGAAATGGTCCACATCTTTCGAACCCACAAGCTACAATGGTGGCTGCCAAGGGCGTGCCAACATTATGGTATTTGAACGAACTGGAGAACACATTCGTACTCAAGTTTACACCATAACAGAAACCCTGCGGACAATGTATCTCAATCGGGTACAGGCGCTGGAAAGTAATAACCCATATTAGCCCAAGACTACTAGCACAGTGGGGGACGCAATACTTCACGGACACCAAAATCAAGGCGGGGCGGGAGCAGGTACAAGCCTTTGCTTTACCAAGAGAGGCCACAGCCAGCATAACAGTCTTCCTAGACGCCCCGGAGAAAGAGAAGCAACTAGTGGCTGCAGCAGTGGCTCTTGACTGCAACCAGTAGATGAGAAGGTCTTGCCAAATTCAGCTTTGGTTTGATGGTGCACTGTTCGGTCTATGCAGCCGAGCTAATAGCAACATTTTAGGTGATCGGACTGGTGTTTCAGGTAGCGCTGAAGAATCAAGGGACTGCAGCACGGATCAAGAGCTGGCGACCAGCCTTAGTGACAGCATCTGCGCTGCAGGTAATTACAGATTTCTGGGGTGAATCAAGCCAGCATATCATCCAGGCTATCCACCAGTCGGCTGGGAACTGAAGGCACGAGGGGTCCCACCGCGACTACAACGGGTCCAGGGACACTGCACTGACCACGGAAATGATACAGCGGACCGCTTGGCTAGGAGGCAGCGGGGGTTGGAAGACAAACACCCCCTTCCGACACCTTTCGCCGCAGGAGGAAGGGTACATCTGCAACGCCATTAGGGACGGATGGGAGCGAGGATGAAATAATTCTAAATAGAAGGGCATCTCCGCCGCATTAATCGGGCCTTGCCGGAAAGCCAAACCCGCTGGCTTCATGGCTGGCTCGCAACACCCGAAATAGAGCCTACTTATTCAACTTCTTCAACCACCCACCACACTACCACTATGAGATGTTTTGGCACTTAAAATAATACAAATTATTCTCATGAACTTTTACCTGAAGTATCTCTACTATTCTTTATGAACCTGGGATAAAACAATCTTTAGTATATCACGTTCGACAATTCATCATATAGAAGAAGACATTTTAAGATTTAACAAAGTCAAGACCTTACAAGCTTGATTATTCTACGTGTCTTTTAAGGTATCCTATTCAACGGAGTATTTGTCGGAGAAGATAATATTGTTTTAAATTTCAGTTCTGGATCTATTTTCTACCGAATTTAAGTCGTTCCTCAATATCCTTTCTATTTAAGGGTGTCCTCCTCTTAGCCTTCTATTTCCGTACTTCATAAAAGCAAAGGACATGTCTAATTGTTATCTCAATAATCTCTACGCCTGTATCTATACGGGTTGCAGAAACTAAAGTATTCCATCTGATTTTCAGTGATCAGCAGATTAATGAAACATATTTGTATATCTTTACATCTTCTGACCGGTTAGAAAAGGCTACTGAGGTAATATTAGTTGATATATATATAACGCTATGGCAAGGCCTACTATCAAATAGTTTAGACTGGTCTTCAGATTAGTAGCCATGTAGAATTGGTCAAGATTGAACATGATCCAGATACACCTTGGAAGAATCATGCACGATCTTCTTATATCTGGGCACTTGAAGAGACTCTTTAGCCTCTATACAAGCCTAGAATATTATGATAGTAAGACAATATACTAAACCATTAAGCAGAACAGGTCAAAAACTGGTTTAGATCATACGGGGTTGTTATAGATTAGCCACTTTCTTCACTGGGTCTCAACCTGATTAAGCACACTTGGGTACATTTAAAAGGATCCTTTACAGGTCGTATCTAAGGCTCTCGTTGGGCAGATACAAAGAAGAGGATAAAGAATCGTCTAATAAGGCTTTCTATGAATATGGAACAGTATGCTATAAATAGTATTCTATAATCTTATTCCCTCAATGCTAAGACATATCAAGGCTTATTATGAAGCTAAAGGCTATTATACAAAGTAATAAGGCTAGAAAATGTCAGCATGAAAGTTCTTTGTATATAGAAAGAAATTGTAGAGATATCGAGCTTTGAATGGGGTCAAATTTGGGGGCGGGAGGCCGGTATCCCGAGACATTTGAACATGTAGTGTATGAAACCAAACCGAAGAGCTGACTCCTGCCATTAGGCACAACCTAATCACAGCACCTTCATCTGATAAATGGGTGTACATGTTATTGGGCAGCTTAGTCCTTGCCGAAGCTTCTTTGTGAATGTCATAATAATAACATCTGATGTTACCATGCGTTCAAAGGCTCTACAAAACAGGGTACTTATCAAGAATGCCCGGATCGATCTCCTGAAGGCGAAGTTGTTGCTCAGCATGCACATTCTGCAACAGGCATCAACCCTGACAGTTGGCAAGGGGCATCCATAATCTTCTCGTCTTGTGGTCTACCGGGTACAGAGGGTTGCTACTTCTCAGTGGCGCAATAGATGTACATTCGCCTGCCAAAAAAGACGTATCAGGACTTGCTGCAGCGCGATCGCTACGTATACTGTCCCATATAATGCATGTTGTTAGGTCACCGAGAACGCAAAAAGTCCGTTGTCCTCTACACTTATGCTTTTTCTTGATTGCTTATATGCTTAGGATCGATATATCAGTAATCAATCTACACTGACGCTCCTGTTAATTCCAGACTTGGCGTTTAAGCCGCGAAAACCTAACGGAATGAGTAAGGAACTAGAGCCTCTGCTTCTGTTGCAACCATCTGCAGGCTTCTTGTTTCTCCCCCGCTGTCATGTGACCCCACTCTCCCGCCGCTATGCATCCATACTGCTCAAGCGTTAAACTGTTCCGAGTGCGACAGTGGGGTTGCAGTGCTACGAGGTTGCTGGAGCAAGTCAGCCGGAGTGACCGCCGGTTCTTGAGTCGAGCTGTTGCTGAAAGCATTTGATATGGTTCTCGGAAGATGGCACCCCGCCTTTCCCAGGGGTATCGAAAGTCCATGTACAACCTAATTATTAGTTTAAATATTGTAACGAAATGCTGTCCAGGGCACATACTATACTGCAAACGACTAAAAACCAAACAATTACGTCAACTGCTTCTGAAAGACGTTGAGCATCAGCGCGGACCTCACCGTCCACCGTGAATTTACTCAGGGACTCTTGGCAGACGGAAAGATAAAAGATAGCGCCGACACCAGTAGGACCGAAAAAGCCCACGAACGCTGCTTGATTCAGATTTTCAATTTGATGGATACTTCTATGCATTGCGAGAATAGCAGGCATTCGCCGTACGAGCAGAATGAGGATGCTGAGAAACAACAGGCGGTAGAGTGGAATAACGCTGTCATCGGTGAAGGAAGACCAGGGGCATACAGCGCCAAACCACAAGAATATTGAAAGGTTGAGGGGCATATCAATAGTCGGCTGAAGCGAGTCGTCCATTGTTTCTAGGCGAAACCAGTCACTGGTAAATTGCCGATCTTTGTGAGCTAACCGGAGTATCCACGTGAGGGAGGGACTACATACTCCTGAGTAAACACATTCCCAGCCACGAAACACGCAAGAAGGTCATCAGTCCCAATCAGACCACAGGTTCCTAGAGTGAACAGCTGGTGTTTCATATTAGCGATTTTGAGTATCATTGATGCCAGCAAATGATATTTGCCTTCCACATAGAAGTGTGGAGCATGCAAGATCGGGGAACAAAGAGAGAGGGAAGGGGCTTGTCACATACACCCAGAGATATAGCAAACACGAAGAAACTCTCACGATCCACGTAACCATTTTCTTCTGCCCAATGTAACAGCGTCCGAGACAGCCAGCCTACAACCACACCGAAAAGTATGCTCAGAAGAATATCGTAGCACCATGTCTCATAAAACCACATTCCGACAGCCTTCCCTACTCCACCACTTGTTCCTGCCCCTCCCATGCCTGTATATTTTAAGAGATAGATTGCAAGAAATAGGAATGGATATCCCAGCCCATCATTAGCGCCAGGTTCCGCAATGATCATACTTTGCAAATCGCGTGGGACATGTCGCTCAGCAAACTTCCCCTTAAAGATAGAGTTCGACAGTACTGTGTCAGTGCGAGTGATACAGGCGGCCACGACTAGGGCGTGAAGATATTACAGATTGGGAGTCATGGCCCAGATCACGAGGCTGCTACAATTCCACATGACTGTCATTCCACGACCCAGCAACAGTGCCAAGCTCTTCCATTCGACCTGTAAATAACGTTTGGGCAGTTGGACGCCGGCCAAGAACAATTGTACTCCCAAGACTAGCCGTGTAAAGTACAAGGTAATGATTTTAACGTTCTGACTCGATCCCAATGCATACTCTGTGGGCCGAATAAAGTTGGCTACATTGGGAGAGAAGACAACTCCAGCAAGGAGGGAAATCACTGGGGTGCAGTTAGCACGTGGCGAAATATAATCGCGGGTAACACGAACATGCTTTAGACAAGTAAAATTTCTCCTTGCATAAGAAAGACAAAAGTCCGAATAGGGATATGAACCCTCCGAGGGTCGCGCAGACAGTGTTGAAGTTGACTAAAGAAATAGTTGTCATTGCGGTTTGAATTCGGGAATCCCTTGGCTCCTTAATAATTTCCCACTCATAAGGAACAGATTCTACTTGAACACAGCAGGTCGTCACTGTTCGTGGTGGGGTCGCTAATCACGTGATCATAGAGACCCTAGGAGGTTAGGACAACTAGCCCCGATCGTCATGTGGCACGTAACGAGGCGCGCTCCGCGCGGCGCGAGGAGGTTGCCGTGCTAAATGAACTGGTCTCCAATTTCTGGATATCGACCGCATGCCTACCAAGCGACCTCAACTTAACTTTAAATATACAGGCCTCACTCCTAACCATCCATATTCAAGCGGCAGGCCAGCTCTATCCCCTCGGTGCCGAATTGAAATATAGGACGCCAAGCCAGTCCACGGGTTCTAATCGTAACCGAGATACGCTCCCTCCCTCTCTTGGCATATTAGGGGCAAGCAAGGATCTATGCGGCAGTAAAGGCTCCAAGCCTGTACTCCCACCCTAAGGTGGTGTACGTCTTCACTCATGTCCTGCACTAAATTCATTGCGATTCGCAAAAGCATTGTCCCGACCCAGTACCTGGTACGGCCATCCAGCAGCCAGCGGTTGCTGCATGTTCCAACTTCAAACCTTCTACCTCGCACAACCAGCCAACACCTCCATAAGAAGTTCGTTCGTTTCTTACTTGAAAGCAATATGGCAGGTGGCTTCGTCCCATACGACTATCTGGAAGTATGTTTCGCTCTTCTAATACACCACATCTTCTGCGAGTTAACCTTACCAGTCATTGAGACCCTAATCATAGTTTCCTTTTGTTCCATCCTATGTTTCGCTGAATGGAGGTCAGCATAGGTCAGATGTGCTGGCATCATAGGCCACATCGCAGATGGCATATGCATATTTGCCGCCTTGCCCTTCGGGTTTTTGACGATGCTCTTATTCTATTACGACCACGTTAGTGATTCGAACGTTGTTATACTCTTCTCACTTTGAGAGGCAGGGTAACGAACTTTTGGAGTAGCTAATCATATGGCTTCATAGAATATCAGTAGCTTGACTGCACAGGCGCGGCAATTCCCGCTGAGGAAACCATTTGGCTTTCATTGGGACTTCTTCCTATTGGCTGCACTACCTTTATTGCAGGTATAATAGGAATTCCTATGCCCAATGGTCTTGTTCCGCAGGTGCTAGCTTAATCTTTACTCCCCTTTCAATAGGCACAAGCTGAAAGCAGTGCAGGCTCCAGTCCACGGACTCCCTGACAGTCTACGAGACGACACTCCGAGCGATTGCTATTGAAGGAGGGGAAGGTGCTGAGATTCGTCGTCCCGTTGTCGAAGCCAAGGCGGTCGTTGAGCAGCGTATCTCCCACTTCGTCATGGGACTGGGTATCATTGGTACCATGACAGGACCCTTGCTCATTGTTCTGCATACAATGCCTACAGCCGTCTTCGCTGGCGTTTTCTTCAACATTGGCTGGGGCTCCATACAATCGAATGGGATGGTGCAAAAGGCCGTCTTTTTGATGCAGGAGAACCATTTCGTTCAGCAGGACGAGCCTCTCCTCAGTGCCCGGAAGCGGAAGGTCCTATTGTTTACTGCATTGCAAGGTACCGGGGTTGCTGCAACTGTGGCCATATCCCAGACTATTGCTGCAATCGGTTAGTTTTCTCCCAAAAGACTACCTGCTCCCTTCCATACTTTCATCCCTGTCAATTTGTTGCCCCGATACTGATTCGCGGATAGGGTTTCCGGTCTTGATTATCCTCCTTATTCCCCTTCGTGTATGGACTCTTCCTAAGTGGCTCAGTGAGCAGGAGTTGGATGTTCTTGACGACCTCACAGCGGATAGTAGTGCTTCCTTGGTAGCTTGGGCGGCCCTCCCAAGTTCCTATGTCAGACGGTGACCGGCCATGAAGGTTTGGAGCGCAGGTACGCGGAGCAACGTGCTGGCGTTCCACGCCAGAGAGCGGGAAGTATCACTCGTTAAGTACTAGCAGCTCGTTATATATCAGATTACACGTTGTTACACTATACTCCAGGCGGTCTATCGCATTCCATGCTAATCAAGTACGTGAAGGCTGTTAGCCTGCGGTTAGATTCCCATACCTCATAGACTGTGGTCTATTGCCCATATGCTTGCGTTCTGCTGTGATTTATAGTATCTTTCTAGACTCCCATCTAGCAAAAACACGATTAACTTCAGGACCCTTCTGTAATCTACAGGGCTCTTGATTCTTATGATCTGATTATTCAAGCGGCATGCCAGTGATCCGCGATCTCGTTTAGGATGGTGTTATCATCTATGCCAGTTGTGACACCGTCGGTTACCAGTGCAATATCGTATCGGCGATCCTCGCGGAGCTGGACTTTCTGTAAGAATGGCTGACCAGGTAAAGGTTTTTCTGCATTTGTGGGAAGCTGTGACCTACCATGCACTGAGATCCGGAGGACCTCAATGTCCAGATCTACGAGGGTTTGTGGGCATAAGAATGGGGAGCATTGCCATCACTTAATTTGCGTGCAGCCGAAAAGGCGTAGCTGGGCAAACGGCCGCATGCTAAGATGGTTGCGATGCGCCGGTGGGCGTGAATGTTCCAACGGCGCCAGACGGCTACGAGAATGGAAGGAGTGGGCGGAAAGTCGCCCGGGCGGCTCGCCAGTCGAGAGCGACGAATTGGCAATGGTTACACAGGAATATGGGCAGATTGAGGAAATTGTAGGACTTGGATCTCAGGATGTGGTGCTGATGTCACATAAGACCTACAAGCCACAGCATAACTGCTGCTATGCTCTGAAAATCTTTTTGCAGGGGCAGAAGCCAATGCAGTACGATCATCGCAGACGAGTGATAGCAGAGTTCTCAATTGCATACTCTCTGCATCACCCGAATATTATCAAAACATTCGATCTCCTACCTGTGGGCTACGGGAATCTATGCGCCTGCATGGATTAGTCCTCCGGCGGAGATCTATTCTCCTTGACTATTGCCTCACGTCAACTTCTGCCAAAGGAGTCTGATTGCTTCTTCAAGCAGCTGGTGTGTGGTGTTCTCTATCTTCATGAGGAGCATATCGCTCACCGTGATTTAAAGCTCGAAAATCTTCTGCTCACCGATCGCGGCTGTCTCAAGATCTCCGACTTTGGAAATGCAGAGTGCTTTCGCATTTCTCGGAAGGACCGAGTGCATATGAGCACCAGATGTCGTGGTTCAGCACCTTACATCTCTTCGGAGCAGTATCTCGAAGAGCCATTCGATCCAAGGAAAACAGATATATGGGCTGCGGCTATTGTTTACATCGCAATGCGAGCAGGAAGGAACCCCTGGAATACAGCGACTGATCGGGACGAATGCTTTAAGAGACTACCTCGAGGAGCGAAGGGTTGGGAAGTATAACTTCCTGATCAGAGAGATATCCCATGTTAGGGTTTCCCCTTGTCACTTCAGATTTGCCTAGACACTAACTTGCCCAATCTATAGGAACATAGCTGCGAATTGCTACATTCTATGCTAAGTATCGATGCTGCGCATCGACCCGGAGCAGCCGAGTAACTTTCCTCACAGTGGCTCCAGGAGATCCGTTGCTGTCAGGCTGCCAGGTCGGGGTAATAAAATGTACGTTACGCGGTTACGGTACAACTCCCCCTTCTCCGAAATTGGCGAGTCACTGGGGATCATTGGGAGATCTCGGATAATGGCGCCCGTTGTCACATAAGAATCCCCGGTTTCACGCGCACACGAAGGACGCTCCCAAAAGAAAAGCCGGAGTCACAACCGAGGGTAAACGTGGGCGGAACTGGATGGACCCGACTGAGTCTAGGCGCCCAGACGCCCAGACTCAACGTCATCCATCGTAAGTGCCAAGACCGAGTGCCAAGAGTGGATCTCCCGCCCTGCACCAATCACCGCGATATGTGGTTTCTGGTTCCGGTCAAGACCATGAGAGGTTAGGTAGTATCTAGTCGAAGGGTCTTGGTGGCCGTAAAACTTTTCAATGTAGCTGGAGGGTCCTTTCTTTT